CTTCAAGAATGATGCAGGAAACGATGTCTAATTATTTAGAACGACTGCTGTGGATCGCGAACAGATGTTCCTTACTTATGATGCTAAGTCGTCTGTTGGTTTATTTTATAAACTGTCGCAGTCGCAGCAGTAAATTACGTTGAGGGTTTCAGCTGGGTTGCACGAAAAAATGTTGTGAATCGAAGCATCCTTTATGTAAATCACGAGATATGTCGTTTCCGCAGAGTCTTTTTACCAGGTGTGAAATATGGGATAAAATGAAACGAAGTTTTTTTTGGTTGGTTTGCGTAATATACATGTAAAGTAAGTCAATTCACCAGTCAGCAATCTGGAAAACGTCTATTACCTTTATACCGATACGAATAATATGAATTAGGTAGGCAAATATGAAGCTAAACTCACAACCTTGTCTATAACTCATTCAAATCGTCACAGAACCACTGAGGTCTGCATCGGCAAGTCGTCCTCATAAAACACCTCCTCTAAATGATGAACAGACTGGTTTGAGGCGCTCTTCCACGTCACTAATTTACAGCCGAGTGCGCGAGTTGCACCACTCATGCGGATCGCATCGCCACAGTGTCTTATTAAATGAGCGCATTCCAAAGTCGACGTTACTGCGGAAGGCGAAGAACACGGAAGGAGTTGTGTAAATCGTCAAAGGCAACATGTAAATCTGTGCGATAGATCGAATTCGGACAGTGGTCGAAGCTCGAAACTGACCGAAAGGCAACGCTACGTGCACGAACACGACTGCCCACAGTAACCCAGCTGATCTTAAGGTTCAATTCCGAACAACCGTCAAGACACGTTGCCAAGAGCTGCACGACATTCGGGCACGCTTCGAAGCAGAGCCACGCGGCACCGAGCGACGACAAGCGTTTCGCAATATTAATGACCGAAAATTGGCACGCCGTCTGTACGCGGTGAACGTTGTGTCGTAAACGATTTCGCTCTGATCTGCACTTCAACGCTGTCCTATGGGCGGTCGACAAACCGAGGCACGGCTGCAACAGCTGTTTTGCATCGAGTAACAACCTCGAGGATGTTACACCAAGCCGGTCCGAACAAATCAAGAACACGTGCCTGCCGCAGGAACTTTGTCGACAACC